TATATATATATATATATATATATATATATATACATATATACATATATAAATAATATAAATAATATAAATGTGTGTGTTCGTTGCGTTGTACAAACGAAGGAGGGCGGAAAAGGAAAGGAGGAATCGTTCAGGCGGGCGAAGAATTAAAAGGAACAAAAAGAGCACATCGTGGACGATAGAAAGTAACCACGTCAGGACAGCGAAAGCCGAAGAGAAGGAAAATAAGAGAGAGGGAGGAAGGAAGAAAGAAAGAGAGAGAAAGCTGAACGATTTAAATAGAATATTAAAGAAAGAGTATAAGAGTTATAGAGAGCAAGAGAGAGAAAGAGAGAGAGAGAGAGAGAGAGAGAGTGAGAGATTGAGAGTGAGAAAGGGAGAGAAAGGGAGGGAGAGAAAGAAAGCGCGCCACCTCGAGATGGGGAATCAATCGAGGAGGGAACTGAACTTTTTTATCGAAACTAAAAGACTATAATAATATATTTCTGTACGCAAAGTACCGCGCGTCATTGTGTGTTCACATTGCATAATCCGATCGATAATAAGACTCTCGTTACGTACCGCTCACCGTAGGCCACCTACTACTACTACTATTACTACTACTACTACTATTACAGCTACTACTACCGCCACTTTCTACTACTACTACCGCTCTCGAAGCTAAAAAAACAACAGCCGCAGCAGCAGCCGCAGCAGAAGACACCACGAAACGACTGACTGAGGAGGATCAATAAATCCGGATCGATCGACCGACCGACCGACCGATGATCGACGACGCGTCATCGTCATTCCGGGCATCGTCAACAATGGATCGTCTCACCGTCGAGTCATCGCGAGCTACGACCAAACGTATCGACACGCGTCTACATACATATGTATACACACACCGACAACACGAACAACACACCTCTTCACAAGCGCCTGCCGCAACCCTCGTCACGACGTATCGACGTGATCCTCTCCTCGCGATTGTCGTTCGCCACGTGCAGAATGTAACGATGCGCGGTGAAGGGTGCGACGCTACCGCAGTTACCAGTTACCTCTTCCCCGACACCACGCCGTACTTGCACATCGTCGTCGGCGATCGCTTGTGAATCTTCAGGATATCGATCGCACGCAATCCCACCGTCAGGAATAGAGAAGGTAATGGAGTGCAAGTTTCCATGTCCGAATCGCTGAAGTCGCGATTGCTTTCGGCGTGAAACGTACGATGAGATTCGATCGAGAGAGACTCAAAATCGCAAAGTTCATGACGATCGGAAGCCGGAGGCCGAAGGCGCGCAATCGATGTTCGGATAAGAAGGTGACCGCGAGAAGAGGAACCACGAGGAAACGGGAAGCTGTACGTAAAAACCGATCGTCCTTAACACGACTTACGGCGACTCGTATACTCGGTGTGTTTCGTCCCACTCAGTCGAACCCCGCACGCATTCGCGGATGCGAGTATTTATTTCATACGTACTCCACGACGGTACAGCATCGAGTCTTCGTCATTGTCATCATCTTCGTCGTCGTCATCGTTACTATCATCGTCGTCGTTGTCATCATCGTCGTCGTCGTCGTCACCACCGTCTCCGTCGCTACTCAACACTCCGAAAGATGGTCCAAGCGCGCAACGTAAAAGACTATACTCTATTAGAATATATCCATTCGTTTACTTGCATCTTCGACACGACTTTTACCGCGTAAATATCGATCACCGGTCTTAGAATTACGCGTCGCGTGTTCTGCGAACCATTCTCGATTTTCCGCCGACTTTTGGAGATCTCACTCGCGCTAATATTCTATTTGTCGACTTTTATTTAGTTTAACTAATTAATATATTATAATACATGAAAAAATGTGTTTTCAAAATATAACGAGTCTCACATTAATAATAGTTGATTTAAAGGTATTCATACAATTAATTTGCCGTTTTTTTATATTTCATTATATGTAATTATAATAATTAACGTAGGAATTAGATTATTTGATCGTGATATTCTCAAATTGTAGTCAGTTCAAAGAGCTTAATAATTTTGTGTTCATTATTTAGAGATGTTTCACCAAGCGGATCGGAAGTCTGCTTTCACGTAAAATAATCAATGGAATTAACACGTTAAAATATCTTTGCAACGAATTTTTCATAAATAAACACTTTGAAGTATTAATCATTTATTGCACGAGATCTTGGTTGACTCGATATTCATCGACGAATTTTTTGCTTTGATCTGAACATAATGGACAGAACAAAATAGCATTTCTCTGCTTTGCATTTCGATCTGTTTTTTTTTTTGTATTTTTTCATTATTACCATAAAAAAATGTCCAAAAAAGAAAAATGGAAAATCAAATCGTTCGCAGCACGCGCGTCGTTTGTATCTCTTCGATAATCGCTATTGAATTACAAAGTGCGAGTTCTCTCATATTATTCCTCGCTGAGGCAACACTTTTCATAATATCCTAGTGGAAAAGGGATAGAAAAAGTAAAACATGTGTACACGAGAACGAAACGTTGTACGAGCACCGGTATCCCGTTATCGTGTGAAACTTCGCGAAATTTTGTTCGAACTCGCTACTCGGGCAACTGTGTAAAGTTACGATATATAAAAAACGAAAGAATCGCTCCTCGCGTCCCATTTTTTACCAAACAAAACATATACGTATCTATATACTACTTATATACATGTGTGTGTATGTGTGTCCACGCTGACCGATCGTAATAATCGAGTGTCTCGCGAGATTGGGATACCGGTTAGTCTCGGGAGCGATTTGTTCGTTTAATTAAGGAAGCATCACGGAGTTGCGAAAAGCGAAAGAAGGGAAAAGCGGTGACTGACGCCAGTCGATACGTCGTTCGTGTCTTGGAAGATATTGCTCCTTGTATACGCATGTAACGATTATTCCGCGCACGTTCTGTCGACGTGATCGTTTCATCTTGCCTCCATAGAAGATATCGTAAATACGCGCTAATCGCCCGACAAACTCGCGACCACGAGGACTATTTGGAAGATGCATTCTTTACCTCTCCTCAAACACACCTTAACCTTAATTTCCTTTTTTATTTCTTTACGATCCTGTTCGAACTTTGCATCAACTTCAGAATAATTATAATCGTAGATTGATCGAAAAGTTTGTTCTCAAATCATCTTAAATCCGTAATTTTAGAAAACGAAAAATGAAACACATATTAACCTTATAATATACATTTGTGTAAAGTTATAATTAGTAATTTTCATTTCTTCAAATATGGATTGAAGTCAATTCAGAAAGAAGTTCTTTAAAATTTTCCTTCTGATATCAATATTTTTCCTGAAGACTTGTCTCTTCTTCCAAGACAGAATTTAGAAATTAAACGAATGAAAGAAAGAATATAAACGATTAAACTACATCATGTAGTCAATCGGTGGAGCAGTCGAACTTAAAGTGAACTGAGAACAATTAAAATTAAATATTCAAAGCACCTTTTCCCATTCGAAACAATTTTGTTCGTAATAATTTTAAAATCGCAGTAGGATAAGCAAACGTGATAACGTAACAATGTCTGTGACGCACTTAGTACGTCTTTAGTACGTCACTTGACGTTCTTAATACGTCACTGTACTTGCTGGAATATTAGTTCAAGTATAGCAGAACATAAGTGTACAATCGCCACTTTGAGTTTGCATTTCAGTCCTTTTCAGAATTTCTATGTGTTAAATTTCCAAGTATGCAAATATTGTAATGGTAATAGCAATTTATAAAAACATTACATTTATTTTGATATGTCCATTTGATATGTCCATTTTGCAGTTTCTAAGACTTACGGAAACTTTGCGGAACTTTTGCAACAAAAAGAATTCGATATATTTTGATAATTTCGATTTTAATAATTAATATTTCTTATGCATAACCTCATTTTTCCAATTTTCCCATCCTGCATTCATTCATCATCTTCGAGACGATTATCTCTCGCTGGTCGGACTTGTGGTCGCGCGGCACACGTTCCAGAAATCAACACATGAATTATACACGGACCTTGGGCCTACTAGCCTAAGGATACTTGTCCATACTATAAGACTTAACTAAAGATGGGATACTTCATACAGTAAACGTTGTATATTATTTGACGTTAAGAGGAATACTAGGGGTAACGGTTCCTGTATTCCCCGGACATCATCGTACGCTCGTCTCTGTGTTCATTTGGACGGTCGACGAGGTCGCATACGTGATAAACCTCGCAAAAATGAGAAAGAAAAATAAGAAACGTTCTTCGACACCTTGTGACAACATTGGCGGATAGGATAGAATGCGTATCTCGCTCATGATCGGTTTCGTGTAGTAAACGATTAACTAACTTTATTCACGATTGCACAACTCTGATTACATTATAAATATTAAGAAAATAGTCGTTATATTAAACGCCATTTTAATTAAAAGGTTAATTTTGAGTTCCAAATTCGTAGCGAAAGAGTTGCTAAAAAATGTTTTTTGCAGTTTGCATAATCTAATCGATCCCCCAAATTGAATGTATGTACATGTCGTATTTGGACAAGAGCATTTTAAAATGAAAAACTTAACACAGTTGTATCCTTCTTTCCAGGAAAAAAGGGACAATTCTTTATATTTATATATATTTTTACTTATATAGGGAAAGTTTCAAAATCAATTAAAAAATTTTTGAATTTTTGAATACCTACAATCACCACTGATTTTAACCTTGCTGTAATGTATACACAGACGGGGTAATTGGAGATTAAGTGGTTCATTTATTAGATACATATTGAATATAAAGTCAAATTGCGAATAATTGATTTGACTTACCCCTGAGTAACTGTATCCGACAGCGAAAGCGAAGAAACTTGACATTGAGCGAGCGTCCGCAATTCCAGCCGATACTTTATCTTGATTCGGACGTGAATCCGCGTAGAACTCGCGTAGAAGCTGTGTAGATCTCCTAGTGAAAATAGGTCTCTTTTTTTTAATTGCACTTAAAAAATTTTTAAGCGATATAAATATATATTCAGACTTTTTGAGCGAAGACACGATGCAAAAAATGCATCACATTGAAAATGTGCAGCTAAAAAGAATAGATCTAATATATTTTTTTTTCTTTTTTTTTCTTTTTTATATGTCGAGTGAATACAGTGCAATATAATACGTTTGTCGTGAGAACATATGTGAAAACGACACGCCACTATTCGTTTTCTTTTCCATCTTTTCGATTTTTCTTGTCTCTCCTCTTGTTATCGTAGATTCGTAAATATTACGCGTACTTCCCGCCAAGAAATTGTTCGTGTCGCGTCCTATTTATTGTTAGCGTGTACATACGAGTGGCAGAGAGTGCCGTCGCCGGTTGCAAGAAAAAGCACCGAATCCGACTACGTATATATCTTGTAAATTACAAATATATATATATATATATA